TGCCAGGCAGGTGAGCATCTCAGACTGCCGAATTGTTAGAACAAAGTATTCTTGTGTTGGAGTTCTTGTGCAGAGGCTCACTGTTCATCTGTTTTCTTAATACTCGACCTATAAATATATGTACATAGATCTATTTCCCCCTCATCATATATAAATATATTTACATCTTTATATGCCTGTATTTACATCTCCATGACTACCCTTTGCCTCCTAGTTCTTTCCTTTATTTATTTGTACTTTCCTCTTGTCCCACTATCATGTTCTGCCTTCATTTGGGTTACATTGCCCTTGATGGGAACCCCTTTTTTGTCAGAGTAGAACTGCACTTAAAATAGATGGATGTAGTTTAATTACTGCTCTGAGTAATCTAGTCAGTTGCATGAAAAATAAATAGGCTTTTTTGTCATAAAGTTTGAAAATTATATATGGAACAATTTTACATTTTCTCTGACTTAAATTCTTCATCTGCAATATGAGATTCATCTGCCCTATAGCTGAAGTTAGAGATAAGACTATGCTGACAAATTTGCTTATAATCTAGTAATGTAAATATTATTTTAAAGCTTGGATAAGTATAGAAAAGTATATACCCAGCTGCAGTTGACAATATTTAGTAAATATTATCATCCAGTAAAGGAAGAAACAATGATCGTCACTTCAGTTTGGCGCCCTCCTCAAGGTTTGTGCAGTTGTTAGGTCCTCTTCTGGGAGCAGTTCAAAACCACCTCCTGCTCCTGGGGAGAAAGATGAAGCTTTCTCCTCCCATAACGAGTTGTAGTCTTGGAAAGCCGCACGGGGTATTCCTATAGGGTTGCTATGCCTCAGAATTGACTAGATGGCAGTGATTTGGGGTTTTATGTCCTCTTCTTAGAATGTTCTTTCGCCTTCCCCTAGTGTTTTCTTGTTATGCAGGTCTTGGTTCAAATGCCACCTCATCTGAGGTTTTCCTCACCTTACTTTATTCAAATACTTCTCCACTCTGATGTAAGGCACTCTCACATCAAATTAAAACTCACATAAAATTAAAACCAAATACCTTGGTTTTAATTTCTTCTTAGTAGTTATCATGACATGAAACAACTTACTTATATATTTTCCTTGTTAATAGCTTCCCAATAATATTTTATGGTCCAAAGAGCAGGGATCTTGTCCATCCTTTTCTTTGAAATAACCTGTATGCTAATAGAACCAGAATAGACTTGGAAGGAAAATGAGATTGTAAAATATGTAAAGTCAAAAAAATGAAATAGGCATATTTTAATGAACACTTTGAGGGAATAAAGCATTAAAAATTCTAATTAACTGTCAGTATAATAGAAACAAAAGTAGCCCTGATGGCACACTGGGCTCTATGTTGGACTGTTAACTCCAAGGTCAGCCCTTGAACTCATCAGCTGCTCCTGGAGAGATAGCTAGGGCTGTTTGAACCCATAAAGATTCACAGTCTTGGAAAACAAAAACCCTCTCTCCTGTAGAATCACTGTAGGTTTGAATCCAATTGATAGCACTGGTTGGGGCTAATTTATGGGATAGTGGGACCCTTGCTACAGTGCATGTGTGGAGGTAGTTGTTGTTGGGTGTTATATGAGCTGTGTCTGTCGATGTTAGCGTACTTTGGAGATTCTTTTCCAGATTCCACACTTCTGGCTTCAGTGAAGGCATTTCTGCCACATGAGCTGTATAAAGATATTTTTTTAATCTAAGTAATTAAAATTCTGACTCCACCTGGTTGGAAGCCTATGTCTCGTGGATGGTGAGGCTCAGGGTTGGTTGATTCAGCAGCTCAGAATACCACCAAGAACTCCGCATGTCTCTTGTCTCTCTATGGCATTCTAATTTCAGGACAGGGTCAGGAGGAAGGGTGAATGCTTCCTTTCACTTCTCACAGATGCCTCAGCAGACTTCCTCCATGGGTTCACTGGTCATGGTCAGGTACATATCCTGCTCTCTGCTGAGGGGATGAGATGGACCGTGCAATCAGGCCCATCTCTGAGCTGGAAGTGGCATTACCTTCCTACGCTGCTTAAGGGCATGGAAGACACCTGAACAAAATGTAGGTTCTTTTGGGAAGGAAGAAGAAAGTGCTCTAAGTCTTATCTGCATTTCTTCGGTTTAGAAGCAAGAGAAAATGTTAAAAATTTCCTTTCTCTTAAGTTTTATTTATTTATTTATTTTCTCTTAAGTTTTATACTTTTGGGTCTGAGGATTAAAAATGGTTCAAAATTCTGGCCGTTGTTACAGACTGAGGCCCCAGGGGAAAGAAAGAGGTGGGGGAAGAGATTTACGCTCCACTTTCAGTTGTATTAATCCCATGCCTTATCCCTAGAGAAGAGCAAACTATTCTGGAGAACCTAGCTCACTCCCCATAATTTTATACTTTATCTCACCCCCACCCCCCAAGCCTAAGAAGAAAAAGTAAGGGAATTGGGGGAACTGGGCACAGTTTGGGGAGAAAGGAAGAGGATAGAAGTTGTCAGAGTGGAGGGAATGAAGCAACCATCTCATTTTCTGTTCAGCCCCACTAAACATTCTGTCTATATCTGATCAAAGCAATGTTTGCCTTTTATATAATGCTGTACTTGGATCTTCTATGTGGCCAAGGCAGGGTGAGACTAAGAACAGATTTGATAAGATAATGTGAATGCTTGACTGAAATGTTAAAAACTTCCCAGCTTCTAGGCTATTCCCAATTCCTTACCATAGACAGGTAGGTGGTTGAAATGCAAGGGGTGTGTCAAGCAGGAAATGTCATGGAGTGGCCGGACTTTAATGATCTATTTTTATATTCTTTGAGATCATAAATATTTTTATAGAATGGTTAAAATTAGGACATATATTCTTGATAGTTAATTGTTATATGACCTATGACATACACTGCCAATCTAGGGCTCTTCCCACAGCTCCTTCTGATCTGATCCCTGATCACCCATGCTGCCCATTTTGTTTACCACAGTCACTAATTCAACCTTGGCTGAATATCACACTACAGACAAATACTTTTGTTCTCAACCTAGTTCCCAATTATTTTGCAAGTGTCTGGTACATAAAGATTGACTTTTACCTCTCTTTGATGTCTCCTGTTAGCTAGAACAAGAGCGCAAATAAAGGGAAGGAAAAGAAAATTGATGGTTGTCGATTTCGTGTTGATATTTTATCTTCTGCTCTTAGATTCTAGAGTGAAGAGATTTTTAACCAGTAATGGCATGGTCATTCTTGGATTCATCTTTATCCTGTGTTTGATAGCTTTGCTTGCTGTGGGGCTGGTCCAGAATAAAGCACAGTCTGAAAACTTTAAGGTAACTCAAATAACTGTATGTATGTGGGGAGGGGTGTAGGGTGAGGAGGAGAAGGGGTCCGAGAAATCAGAGCACCCAGCAGTACAGTAAAACCTGGAAAAGGCAGAGTCTGTGTAACCTAGAAGCCCATCAGAGAAGAAAAAACGTAATCACTGTTTTCCACCCACGTGAATGAAACAAAATCAGCCCGGCTGTACCCTGTCAGAGGTAGAGAACTTGTGACACTGATAGAATGAAGGCAGCTCCATTCACTTTTCAGCTCTCAGTTTTCCTTGTCGTTCTAGAAACCTAGGGGCTCTTCAGTATTCAGTGGAGTAGGGAAGTCAGTGAAATGCATACTCCCTCTGGAAAAGGGAATGCCTTAATCCATTACTGGTGACGAGATAATTGCTTTGCTGGTTGCGCAGTACACTTATTCAAACTTCAACAGAGACAAATGCTTTATTCACCAGTGATACTATATTAATACCCTAAGTTCTAATACAATCTCTACTTCTTCCTCATTCACCACTGGTGACTCTTAATGTTGCATGCTGTTCCTTTTACTCCCTTGTTACCCCTGTTGTCACCTACACCTTATTTCCCTTCATGCTAATTGAAGACTGTGTCAAAAATACTTTGGAGATCAAAGATTGTGCATAAAAGTTGTTCCTTACCTCTAAAAACAGTAAAGAAAGCAGCAAACTCAATTTTTAAAAGAACACATACATTTATCATTTATGGTAATTTGAAATTTATTCCAAAATGGACAGATTTCTTCTGAAATTTCCACATTTACAGAGTGAATTGGGATTAATAAAAAAACATTAGGGTATGGTGAGGTGGGCGTAGGACACCTGATAGGGCTTGATCAAGGGTAATGTAACTGAGGGGAATTACTGAAACCAGAGTGAAGGCTGAACATGATAGTGGGAAAAGAGGAAAGTACAAGGAAAGAGAGCAAAGAACTAGGAGGCAAAGGGCATTTGTAGAGGCCTAAGTATGGGCATTTACATATGTAAATATCTTTATATGTAACCATAGGGAAATAGATTTATGTACATATATTTATATGTTAAGTATTAAGGTAGCAGACAGACATTGGGCCTCTACTCAAGTACTCCATCAATACAAGAACACTTTGTTCTAATAACCCGGCATTCCGTGATGCTCACCTTCCTGACACGATCGATCGCTGAAGACAAAATGGGTGCATAAGCAAATATGGTGAAGAAAGCTGATGGTGCCTGGCTATCAAAAGATGTAACATCTGGGATCTTAAAGGCTTGAAGATAAACAAGCAGCCATCTAGCTGAGAAGCAACATAGTCCACATGGAAGAAGCACACCAGCCTGTGTGATCATGAGGTGTCGATGGGATCAGGTACCAGGCATAAAAAACTCAGAACAAAAAAATCACATCAATGGGAATGAGGGGGCGTGCAGAGTGGAGACCCAAAGCCCATCTGTAGACAATTGGACATCCCCTTACAGAAGGGTCACTAGGAAGAGAAGAGCCAGGCCGGGTGCAGTATAGCACTAATGAAACATACAACTTTCCTCTAGTTCTTTAATGCTTTCTCCCTCCTACCCCTCCCCCTGCCCCACTATCATGACCCCAATTCTATCTTACAAATCCGGCTAGACCAGAGCATGTACACTGGTACAAATAAGAGCTGGAAACACAGGGAATCCAGGACAGATTAAACCACTCAGGACCAATAATGAGAATAGCGATACCAGGAGGGGAAGGGGAAGATGAGGGGAGAAAGTGGGTACCGATCACAATGATCTACGTATAACCCCCTCTCAGGGGGATGGACAACAGAAAAGTGGGTGAAGGGAGACATTGGTCATTGTAAGATGTGAAAAAATAATAATAATTGATAAATCATCAAGGGTTCATGAGGAAGGGAGGGGGGGGGCAGGGGAAAAAATGAGGAGCTGATACCAAGGGCTCAAGTAGAAAGAAAATGTTTTTTAAATGATGATGGTAACAAATGTACAAATATGCTCGACACAATGGATGAATGTATGGATTGTGATAAGAGCTGTACGAGCTGTAAAAGGATTAAAAACAACAACCCACTAGGGTTTTAGCTCTGCTATGAAAATTAATTCTGCTTCCTTCCCAAGTCATCTAAGCAAAATATCAAGATCTAAGTGTTTTGAATATCTTATCAATATCTTATAAGATGGCCATTATTTTATCTGTTAATTATAAAGCAAGAGGTATATTTATACTTATTGTAGATAGACCACTTTCAACTTTAGCTGAAACAATAGTAAATAAATCTACAAAGTTGCTAAGAATGCCAATTTGCTAGTGAGACCATATCCATAAGTAAGTGGTGATATATCCAAAAGTTAACCACAAAGACTCTGGAATATTTGTCCCATGCCCCACAAGTATCTTCTCTTGTAGGAAACATGGGAAACTGTGAGCCAGGGAAGATGAATGCTTATGCCAGGCCACTGAAATCTTAGCTATCCACTCTAATTATTTTTGAAAATGGCAGTGACTTGGGCATCACATTGGCTCCTTTTGCCACATAAATCCAACCCAGCATATCTTTGCACAGCAACTTCTTTGTGCGCACAGGCCAATGATATTTCTTTTTTTCCCTGCTTTTTAAAAAAAGTTTTATTTTTTACTTTATTTTCTTTGGTTTTATACTTATGTTCTATTATAATACTTTTGTTATTTATTTATTTTTGTTTATTCTTTATTTATGTTTTTTCATTAATATATATCATCTCATTCCATAGTTCAGTCACATTAAACAGAATTGTACAACTGCTACCACAATCAGTTTCCAAACATTCTTTTTCCTTTTTTCCAACTTTTAAAATTTTATGTATTTTTCAATAGTTTTATTGGCATATAATACATGTATAATTCAATAGTTCTCTTCTTGATATGGCCAATGCTATTTCATTGTCAATAGTCTCTTGACTTTTCATATTTAGAGTGAGGTCGGTGCTCTTGGCAAAACTTCACTCACCATTGAAGCTTCATGACATTTAGTTCTGCTTTGTTGACCAGCTCCAAAAGGACACAATTGCCCTCTTGATTTGACTCTTTGACATGCTCCGTGTTACATCATTGGAGAGAGGACTGGCTAGACTTGTGTTCTGTGTTCCAGAGTAACACATGTGGCATTGGATGACCTCTTATTCACAGCGGTCTTCCTCACATTGCTCATGCTTCCGTGCTGTTGTGTTGGTCTGGAAAATAAGAAAAGAGATTTGACATTCTTTAAATGAAAGGTATGAGTATTTGAAGAACAGTTACAGGCATGGTTCTGCCTCTGTGAATAAGTGTTACTGAAAGTTTTGCCCTATCACTAACCCCCATTGTTCATGTAAATAGTGCCCGATCACTGAAACATGTAATCTGTACAAGGCAACAATGAATGTGTTGTAGTCGGAAAGGCCTAGATATGTCTATTTTCCTTTTCTCAATGGTGCTGTCAATTCTATACCATTGACTAAATTAATGACATTGTCAAGTCTTGGAAAGTCACAAATTCAGTTCTGTCCTACCCTATGGGGTCACTATGAGTCGACATGAACGCAATGGCAGTGAGTAAAGAGTAGAAGTATTAATACTTCCTACAGCCAATGGGGATGATTGATAGTGTTCACTATCACAAATGATAATTGAAACGGAGACATATATAAACCATGGATATATGGATGGATTTGGGGATCACACTTAATTCGAACCCCAGTCTAAGAACGACTAGTTGTTATGAAATGGCCGACTCAATACTCACCCTCATGAGGAGACCACTGTAGACAGAGGTGCGAAGGCAAAGTGTGAAGAGATCAGATGGTACCTGACTATCAGAATGAATAGCATCCGGGGTTTTAAGGCTTGTCTTCAAACAAGCAGCCTTCTAAGTGAGATGTCAACTAAGTCCACATGGAGGAAGCACATCAGCCACTGCAATCCTAGGATTGTAAATAATAAATTCCACATCCAAAGGCAGGAACAGGATCCGAGCTTAAATTGTGAACACCTGGTTTGCAGAAGGCTATGGATGGCAGGGGAAGCCCCAAACAAAACCCATTTGCAGGGTCCCCACACAGATTAAGCCTCCAGTGTATCTCCTCTGGGCAAAGGCCAGGGATGTGAACAGCCTTGCTGTCAGACAGAGAAAACTGTTACGTCAAGTATGGCAGATGTAGTTAGGTTAAAAGAGACACCTGATTATTTGATCTCCCTTTTGACTCATTTTAAAATCATTTCAGTTCTTAATATTTTCTGCTTTCTTTTGACTGAGGTTTTTCTGTTTTATCATTTTTGCTTGTGTTTTGTATCATTTTCTGTGTATGAAATCCAGGATAGGTAGATCTATAGAGAGAGCACTGGGTTAATAATTATCTAGGGGCATGGCATGGGAAGCTGGGTGGAAATGAGGAGCTAACAAGTATAAGAAGGAAATGGTCTGAAATTGATTGTGGTGGTAAAACTGCAAAATCCTTCTTAATGTGATTAAGTGAATAAATTATATGATATGTGAATTTTATGTCAATAAAACTATAAAAATAATATAATAAGAAATTTCTGCTAAAACATTGCTTTAAAAAAAACTCACTAGGAGAATGCCTTTGTCCTGGTAGACCTATTTGGGCGAGTAGCTTTGAAGTCTGTTCAGTTTGTCAGTTTTTAAAGCCTTCTCATCTCTGAACATTGGAAGTCAGTTGTCAAATATGCCTTTATCTTTGACATTCCATATCCTGACAAACACACAGGCTTCACAGGTCCTCTTGAAGGCACCAGACTGAGCCAAACCACAGGCTTTCATGAAAAGCTGCCACTTTCCACAGAATGTGGGCTTGCTGTGAGATTTTTGAAAACGTGGCTTGTTCTCTATGCCTCAGCTTCCTTATCTATAAATGAGATGAAAGTCTACTTAGGGGATGGTTGTGAAGATTGAATAGAATAATAAAGAGTACCCAGAACACCAGAGGCACTTGGCTGAGATGAGTGGGCATCACCACTTGGTGGGAGGT